CGTCTGAGCCTCAGAATGACGCCTCAAATTGCTTTACCATCCGACGAAGACGACAGAGTGCGATTTAGGTTGCGCGTGTCGGCGTCCATCTTTGAAATAGCACTAGGCAGGAGGCTGGTAAAATGAAGCTGGCGAACCGAAGAAGCCCCCATCAATTTGAAAAATAAATCAACCGAAGTCTTTGACATTGGCCTCGCGACACATCGTTGACAAGCGACGGAGGTGCGAGCATAATGGTAGCCGAGTTTGTGCAAGGAGCTTGCATGGATCTATACTGGCTGATGACACCATAGCATTGAATAGAATAGGATATCATAATACATTCAAAAGATTTGGATCATCCCGCAGTCAAAGCGACGAAACTTCTCCTGTAGTTTGATCAAACTGACGTCTGAGCCTCAGAATGACGCCTCAAATGGCACAGGACGTGCTAGGCTAGTGCTAAATTTGCTCCGTGCAACTACGTAAACAAAACACTATCTAACATGGCATCAGCTCAAAGGCGCTCACGGTCTACTCTGTTACCCGTCAGCGGGTTGTGCAGGTGATAGTATCTACTGGGCCGGCTCGGTCTGTGGTGCGGGCTGCAGTAGCAGCCAGAAGAGGCGTGGGGGACAAAAGGTGTTGAGACCACATTCTGCCTATGGCCGCCAGAAAAGAAGAAACAAAGGAAAGGAGCACGACAGTGCTGTGATCAATGATTTCATCTAGTGGTGCGGGCAGATCTTCTCAAAGAAAGAGCTTGCCTTCACCAGCTTGACGAATTTGTCGAAATCTCTGCCTATTGCCTGGTTGATCGCCACGGTCGGTGAGGGAGCGAGTCTCATCCGACATCGCGGCTGAATCTTTCTACGTAAACAAAACACTATCTAACATGGCATCAGCTCAAAGGCGCTCACGGTCTACTCTGTTACCCGTCAGCGGGTTGTGCAGGTGATAGTATCTACTGGGCCGGCTCGGTCTGTGGTGCGGGCTGCAGTAGCAGCCAGAAGAGGCGTGGGGGACAAAAGGTGTTGAGACCACATTCTGCCTATGGCCGCCAGAAAAGAAGAAACAAAGGAAAGGAGCACGACAGTGCTGTGATCAATGATTTCATCTAGTGGTGCGGGCAGATCTTCTCAAAGAAAGAGCTTGCCTTCACCAGCTTGACGAATTTGTCGAAATCTCTGCCTATTGCCTGGTTGATCGCCACGGTCGGTGAGGGAGCGAGTCTCATCCGACATCGCGGCTGAATCTTTCGGCAATAGAAGAGATGCGTCGGCGCCTTGCGCCGACCACAAGAACATGTAACACAAGCGTCATTGTGCTGGAATCTTTCGTGGTAGTCAGCAAAATCACCATGATGGGTACCTCGCGGCTAGAAGATGGTGAAGGATTGTACGTGGGAGGGCTAGCTCCGGTGGACAGTTAGAAGGGAACTTGAGGTTCAGGTGGTTTTACTTATCGGGTGCAGAAGCATCCCACCAGGCTTGGACTGCAATTTTGGACCGCTGTCTAGCGGTCTTTCGCAAGAAGGCCGGTGTTGGGACTGCGTCTGCGGGTTCGGGTTGGGCGCATCCCGTCTTCGCCAAGATGTCGGCTTGTTCATTTCCTTGAATCTTGGTGTGTCCGGGTATCCAGCGGACTTCGGTCTTTCGGTGTGTCTTCGCTAGGGCCTGAAATGTCAAGAAGACCGTCTGCGACGAGTCGAAGGGTTTGCCTCGTAGGCATGCGGCAGCCGCGATGTTGTCGAGGCATACCACTATTCGTTGCGTGGCAGACTGAGGAAGCTTAAGAGCGGGCTTCGCGGCCGTCCGGCGCTCCTTGCCTAAGAGCGGCTTTGAGGCCCTCCAGCGCTCCTTTAGCCTCAGCGTCGAACACCTCCGCAGGGCCGAGGCGTCCTGCGCCTTGGCAAAGAGAGCGTCCGCTTTGGTGGACAGCATATCCGTATCCGGCAGCATCGCTGGAGGACAGTGAGCCATCAGAATACACTATAAGACTAGACGGCGGGATGGTTTGGAGTCATCGGTCGAAGTCTTTGACGGATTCTTTTTTGGATGCAACTTGGAGAGGCTGCGGTGGTTCATGACTGTAGCGCGGGGCATAAGCGCGGGGCGCTGACAATTCCCGAGCAGTTTGTTTGTCCTCCTCAGTCGAGTTGGGAAGGTCTTTGACGGGAGCTGGTACTTCAACTTGAGATACACTTGATGATGGCCTGTGGCGCTGCCTCGGTGGTGCATTTGGCCAGAGGGTGTGCGTGGTCCAGTGATTTGATGCGAGTTGAGAAGCGGAGTCGTCTTGCCTCCAGGAGTTGGTGAACAGGAGATATGCCGCTTTCTCGATGTAAGACAGCGATCGGCGTGGTTTTCCAGGTTGGGAGGGCTGCTGGATCCTGGATGTGGCGAGATTGTGCCTGGGTATCAGGCTTCCATGCCGAAGAGCAGAATCGGTTCGACACAGGCTTGCATCAGAGAAGAGAACGAAGCTACAGATGATGAGCTCGACCGGAGTGCGTTCGACTAGCAGTTGCCTTCGTATTGTCTATCTGGACTTGAGGAAGAAAGGAGAAAGAAGGCTCGAGGTTCACCGCGAGCTTGCGTTTCTCGGGTGTTGGGCGGCAGCATAGGTGGATTTCATCTAAATGACCTGACAACGAACCGATCCAGTGCCAAAGCTCTGGGTTCGGCAGAGCCTGGGTCCATGCAGCCATACAAGCGGCAGATCTAAGGCCCACGCAAACGGCCGAACGAGTACTACAATCGTGGAGGGCCTGGGGCCGGCTTGCGTGCTCGTACTCGCTGAGAGGATGATGCTGGCGCGATAAAGAAATCCGCCCGCGACCACGACTGAAAATGGTTCACGCTTGATACCCTTGTCACGACCACACGAGGCTGCAGGAGGCAATGTCGAGGCGGCGGGCGTGGGTTGCATGCACCATATTTGAGTATGACTACGATGAGATGTCAACGGAAACGCACGTCTTTGCGGAGTGTTACGGTATTGTCCAACTAATGACACTTTCGTATAATAAGCTTCATCAATCTTTGATCGACCTGAACCTGCACACCAGAAGCTTTGGCAGATGTTGTAGCCTTGGTCCAATACTCATACGAAAGGCTTGTTCCCGACGACCTAAAGGAGCTCGTCGTTCTCTTTGCTGCATGCGAGGTGGAAAGATTGTGGGGGGATGAGCAGTTTTAGGATCGGCTTTGGGAGGGCTGTAGTTGGGGCAATGCTGAAGCGATTGGAATAGTCGCGAACCCTCTGTGAGTTGGTTTTGTACGTAGCAGCTGAATTCGTACGAACATGATGTCAAATCAGAGTCATAATTTTTATGAACTTGGTCAACACAACCAACCAAATATTCCCAAAATAGTCATGGCTGGTTGTTACGGCTGCATTATTAGCCTCACTATCTATGACGCACAGAAAATCTCGCGCTTATTCATGGGCCACATACCGTAGACGACGACGGAACAACTCAGCAGACCTGGACGATGTCAACCAGTGCAACTGAGGCTGCTCGGGTTGTACTGGAGATAGGGGGAAACAATGGATGGATGAAGAGTGCTGGAAGAAGGGAACGGGTTTGCTTGATGCACTCGGACAGTACAGTCACTACAGCTCGGCAGATACTCATCAAGAGACTAGCAATAAATCATCATTGCATATAGAATTACACCTCCGTGCCAAGGCCGAATTGCCCAGCATGTACCAAGCGTGGTTTGTATAAATCAGATCCTTTTTCGTAACTCCCTTCCTTCGGCCCGAAACTACTGGCACCTAAAGGCTAATGTTGCCTATGTGCTGTCGATCCAGACTTCCAGCTAGGCTAACTGTTCCCCTTCCCAACCAAATGGCGTAAGCCCTCGTGAAACCATCTACCGGTCGTTGGAAGATGTCCATAACTCGAGGCATCACACCACCAGCAGTGCTGATTTGCTCGCTCATGCATTCTCGAGATAATAACTTCCCGTTCCTCACGGCATTCCTGCGCCTGGATGCAACCCTCGGCTTCATCACCATCTCCCAGTGATCCGTTCGCTACTGTCATCAACGCCGCGGCCACATCCGTCATCACCGGGACACCTTCACACCTGTCCCATCAGAAGAGACCCCGGTTATTTTTTGACACTGTGTCCCAGCCAACAAACTACCAACCGCTTGTATCATGCTATGTTATCGGTTTGGAAGGGGGACTCACACCTGACTACAGACAGATGAATGTCTGAATGTTCTGGTTGGACTTGTTCGCTACGCTGGTGGTATAGTCGGGAAGTCCGGCGTTCGAGGTGGCTCAACTTCGTTGACTGCTCCGATCCGACTCGTGCCCATCATCCGATAGCTCGAAATCTGACCCTTTGTTTAAATCTTCAGCAGCTTTTTCAGCTGCTTGAAACCTGGCCTCATCTTCTGGGTTTAATTGTTCGATGGGACTCGGCGTGCGCCAAATGCGCTTGATACGTTTAGCTGGGCGTTGTGATTCGACATCCGTCTCGCTCTGAGCCTCAATCTCCTGGGCTTCTCTATACGCATCGAAAATGCTGCGGAAGGGTATGGATATCCCAGAATTTTGTTCCTCCAAATCGATGTCAAAATCGCCGAAAGGGATCAACACGCATTCATCCGGATTTGCAGGCGAGCCGTCTGCCGCTCGAAAGGCCTGCTAGAAGTCAACACCACTTCAAACAGAGTGATATTTGTGCACCTGTACCTTGTATAGAATCTTTTCAACTCGTACTTCTTTCTCGTAAGCTGGATCGTCGGAAGGTGTGACTCTGGCGCACCATCGTGAAACTGTGGATGGTTTTCCAAGTGGATTGAGATCAATACCATACACCGTCTTAATTTTGCCATCAGACTTGAGGATATAGTCGTAGGCAAGAATCTCCAGCTCTTTCTCGGTTTGAGAGAGCGCCACTTCTACAATGACGCGAGGCTGTTTCTCTGATTTGTGTCGAAACTGTATGTCGGGTTGACGACTCTCCTTCTTCCCATCCAGGTAGACTCGGGATGAGCGACCTAGTTTAATGTCTGAACATCTACCACCGCGTCGATCTTGTTTTATGGTATACTCTCGCTCCAAGTCGCTAATTACAAGCTCGTGGATCGGTAAAGGCATGCGGACACAAATAGCTGTAGGATAACAATCGAAGCGACGAAAGATATCCCCAATTTTCTCAAGGTGCTGGTGCGGATCAAATTCTTTGCTTATTTGTATTCGAACAATCTCCTCCGCTTCGTCTGCTTTTCGATCGGCCTGGTACCGACGGAGTTGTTGGACCGAGTTAATCGCCAGTGACCGCTCGACTGTTCTGGGAGGTGTTGGCGGCAGAGAATGTTTCGGAGGCGTTCTGCTCAAGGTACCATCAGCGCCGCGGTGCCCAATATTCATGGTGTCGGCATCTGGACGCTTGGTGTTCATGATAGTTGAGTGTTTGAAGTGACAATATTGCCCCTGGCTGAGGCTGTGTGGATCTTTGATCACTGATGGATGTGCCCCACCTTCAATACGTTGCTCAGCAACGCCCAGTAGGACGCGTTTAATGTTTCAATCCGTTCTAGGCGTGTTTAGCATCTAATATATTATAACAATCTTGCGATTTCTCGATATTAATGAACCTGCGGACTCAATTCTTAGAGCTAGTCATGGGCTTTGTGGAAGGGAAATGACTGTTAAATAGTTCAACATAGGTGCAACATCGCCTCTTCAGCAGGAGGGCCGCAGCCAACAACGGCTTTTCCTGACAGCTCCGGCAATAGACTTTCTTGTCAGAAAAGTTGTTTGGAAGACACCCACCAGGGCCCTTCGACGGAAGTGAATGCCGATTTTTGGTCAGCCTGGGATCAAGGACTAGGAGGGGAGAGAGGCTAGTCGTGTAGGGGGCGCTTTATTTCCGTCCCAAGCTATTCAGTGTGCCTGATTCGGTGTGATTGCTCTGTACTCTCACCGTCAGGCTCAGGCTCAAGTTCAGGCTCCAGTCACGCTTATCGGCCTCAGACGGATACCCGCTGTGTCCACTGCACCAGCCATTACTTCTGAGGCTGGGTTTGCGCCAAAGATTGCTGCAGCGATAATAACACTGGCTGCGTTGTTTCCTGTTTTAGCCCTGCATCAGGTCCAGGGTTTAAGCAGCGTACAAGCTGCGGTTTCTATCTATCAGCAGCCCAAATATACTTCCATGCCAATTATATGCTTTGGTCCGCGTAACACCATGTTGTCGACAATCAGGATGTCCCACCTCCACCGCACTGCCATGTTTAGTTTTGGACATCAAGCTAGCGAGCAACGGCAGGTCGCGGAAAGTCAGCCTCGACCCAACGCAATGACGCATCAACTTCGGCCACATCTCAGCTTACAACTAGGTCCCCGTGTTGCACTTGTTGAATGGCCATTCCCTACATTCTTGTCAGAGGGGCTTGGTTCTGTATTATGTCCGCATGTGAACAGTGCAACACACATAAACAATTTATTCAGTCTCCTCCACATTTCACGACCCCCTTGTCAGGAAAGCTGCAAAAGGTACAACAGCTACCGGTATATCGCTCGCTCCCCGTCCTGTTACGGTCCCGGCAGGGCGACCCTATAGTGATTAATAAGCCGCCGTAGTAATTGCTAAGACCGCTAGGCAGCGGTCCAAGATCGCAGTACAAGCCTGGTGGGATGCCTCTGCACCCGATAAGTATCAGGGTCTGACCCTCAAGTTCCCTTCTAGCTGCCCTCCGGAGTTAGCTCTCCCAAGAACAATCCTTCACCACCTCCTTGCCGCGAGAACTCATCATGGTGATTTTGCTGACTACCACGAAAGATTCCGTCATGATGATGCGTGTATTAAATGCGCTTGCGGTCGGCGTAAGGCACCGACGCATCTCTTCTACTGCCGAAAGATTCAGCCGCGTTGTCGGATGAGGCTCGCTCCCTCACCGACGGTGGCGATCAACCAAGCACTAGGCAGAGATTTCGGCAAATTCATCAAGCTGGTGAAGGCAAGCTCTTTCTTTGAGAAGATCTGCCCGCACCACTAGATGAAA